ACAGAATTTTTACAACCCTGTCCATCAAATAGTGTCTGCTTATCAGTATTAGGATACATATTTTGAGCAAAACATGCTGAATGAAGACAAGACTATGCAGCCGTCACACATTTTACAGGTTACAGTAAGATTTGAGGATGAGTTGTATGATGCCTTTGGGTTTTTAACCTTCTTCTTTATCAGCGTTTGATATGATTGATTATACTTTAAGAAAATGTACCTGGAGTGAAGAGCCTGAATCTCAGACAGCATCTCTCCTTGACTTATGTACCGCTCCATCACCTCCACAAGGGCGGCACTCACTTGCCTAATCGGGCCGTTCACCACCTCCTCTACCAGGCCAGCCGTTCCCTGAAACACCTGCAGACAGGAAAGATGTACATTCAAATAATGTCATGAAGCACAACGAAAACCAGGTAAAACTTAAAGGGACACTCTACTATTTTGGAAAAAGCCTAATTTTACAACTCCCCCAGAGTTAAACAGTTGGGTTTTACCGTTTTCGAATCCATTCCATAGTAGGAAAGTCAATAGGACCAGATACTATCTGGTTACTGATATTCTTCTAAATATCAGAAAATCGGCTGAATGGATTCGAAAACCGTAAAACCCAACTGTTTTAACTCTGGGGGAGTTGTAAAATGAGTCTATTTCCAAAAAAAGTGGAGTAACCCTTTAAAAGAAATGTAGTTCTAGAGGAGTATTAGCTCTAAGCACTGACAAAAACAAACATTTAGTTATATAATTTTACCACCACCATATGACCACTACCATTTAAAAGATTTTCAATAGTTATTTCAAACAGTAACAATAAATGTTAATCTTGAAAAATGTTAAAATCTTCAAAAACTTTTTTTTATAATGACATAAATAGAAGCTCATTACGTCACAACGTAAATACATTGTCGTTTCAACACTTAATTTTTTTATGTATACATACATATAGTATGCACATACATATATAGTATGCACATATATATATATATATATATATACACACACACACACAACAAAAATACAAAAAAAAAAGTATCTTCTGCACTACATATAAGTGCATGAACAAAGTATGTTTTATGATAAATCCTCATCCCTTACTTCACATTTCAGCACTCTCAGCATCACTTAATAGAAATATATGATGTGAGAGACAGTACCTGAAGATGGAACTCGTCACTGGCTGTCATGGTGACGGAAACACGCAGCGGTTCAAGAGATTTTTCAGCAGCATGAGGCAAGAGCTCAAGGCACAGCTCAGAGGGACTGACTGATAGCAGCCTATACTGCATATTTCTGTGAGTCGCTGTGACCAAGGTTTGCAGCCTGAAAAAGGGGAGTTTATTATTAGCGTGGCAGTGTAATCAGTCACAACAATCTAACAATCAAAATAACATTATTATTATTTTTGTCCGTTTTGATCAATTTGATGCATCCTTGCTGAATAATAGTTTCATTAATTATTAATTTCTGTAACAAAAGAAACTGACCCCAACCTTTTCAACAGTAGTGTATAAAAACTCACCTGTCCCTTAATAGAGTCCAGTCACTAATTTGAGCCTGCTGTCTTTCAAATTCATTCTTGAGCTTAGACAGATGAACATCACACACATTCAAGGCCTTCTGGGCTGCCTGGAGGGAATCTTCCAACTGAAAGCTGATTTGTTTCTGTGTGTGAGAAAACGGAATGAGAATTTAAACAATTTGATTCAACCAGTTTGTCCCAAAGCTTCATTTTGGTGAAGAAAAGATGAAATTATTGGAGCGAACTAGTGAAATCAAGAAGTATAAAGTAAATGGATGTCTTACCTCAGCTCTCTGATTTTGTTTAGCTGTGATTCTCTCCTTCTCTTTGCACTCGTCCTTCTGAACGAGAACGAGATTTAATGTACAATACAACCACATGAAAATGTAAGTATGATGAAGCTCCATGTATAGCTGCATTAAACTACATGATAAAAGTGGTCTCTCATTCTATCATTGTTAGAGTTTTTTAAGGGCAACAATAATCAGCCAAACTGGCTTTTCATCAGATTAATCTAAATTAGTTTGATCAATCAGATTCATTTATTGATAAAAGAAAGAAGTCTGATTACCTTTATCTGTAGAGTGGACAGTAGAGTCTCCAGTTTCTGCCGTTTACCCTGAAGCTCTTCCATGCGGACCTGGAAAGCACTGATCAGCCTTTCCACCTCCTGAACTCTCTCCTGATATTCTGCTTTTAAAGCCTTCCATGCAGAACGAGCTTCATTACCTGTGCACCCAAATCAACGCATAATTTCACTGCTTTGTTTAGCAATAAGCAGTCATGTACAAATGTTCATGATGTGCGTGTTACCTGGGTTTTGGGGACATGGCTCATTCAGCAGCTGATCCACTGACTCCAGACCTGCCAGCAGCTGGACCATGTCATAGACCACACACAGCTGCCTGAATATATGCTTCTGTTTCCGCCTGCAGTCCTACGCACACAAACAAATGCCTTAAAGTCGGCACGAAAGGCAAGTTGTTATAGTCTTTTCTTCCTTCCTTGTGATGTATATGCGAGTGATAAGGCAAGAAAACAAGAAACATTAGAGTGATACTTGATTTTGTCCATCTGGAATTGACTGGATGGTTGTAGTTAATAGCTGTGATGTCATGTGAGTGACAGGTTGCCCCGCCCTCACATCAAGAAAAACATCATCAGAGAAAAGACATGTCATTGCAAAAGGAAGGGAATTAAGTTGTTTTGATTAAAGGTTAAATTTGAAATTAACAAAACAGTGATGTGCATGAGCAAATCATTTAGAATAAATACTGCCATATTCCATAAAAAAAAGAAAAATAATTGTCTATACTGATTTCATGGTGACTTAGTTTAAAACTTCAATGTTTTATTACATGAATTAAAGGAAATCCTATATAATTTTTTTCATAGCAGTGTTTTTTTTAAAGGGACATCATCGTCATAAACCACAGTTATCTATAACAAAACTCAAAATTTACCATCAGATAAGGAGCCATAATTTCTCCCTCTCCTGTTTCCTGCAGTTCGGTGGTGTTGCATGATTTCAAGAAGGAAGGGTCAGTCCTTTCCAGAAGTCTGAAAGGAGAGATTATTATTTATCTTATTCATTAGACTATTATTCATATACTGTCTTTAAAAACTACCATGGGAAAAAAGGCTTTGAATTGCATGAATTAGCAGATCCCAAAGGAAACTTTACTTAAAAAAAATGAAACCAATCCCTTAAACTTACATACAATTATCAATTAACTAAAGTGATGCATTAGGGTTGTCACTCTCGTGCACATATATTGTCTTACATAAAGAAGGGCATTATTTAATTCATCAATGACCTTGTGAAAGTTGCTCAGGTGTTTTTTCAGTGACGTAGCAAAAAATGTACGCTGTCACAAACATGAGTTATAACGTTACAGAATTATGAGAACGGGTGGTTTGGATGCAAACCCAAACCCTGAATGGTTAACAGTGATTTAAATATGTAACGTTACGTAATAACGGCAGCGGCTAATACTAACTTAAATGCAAATGGCTATCGTTTCTCTGTAACAAAAACACCTAAACAACATTACAATTACAACGGTGACTTTGTAAAGAAATACATTTTCAGGCCTTGTACTTTCAACCACACACATAAAATCATTTTCAAGTGAACCATTGATTCCTATAGCATTAGCATAAATAAAAAAGTATAAAACACCGTAAAATTAGTTCTTATAAACGTCTTTTTCCAGTTTGTAAGATAATACTCACGCTTCGCCTCTCACCGTCGCCATTTGTGTTTTGAAACTTACCCGCCTAACGCTGATTGGCTAGAACTGTTAGGCTTCGTCACAAACGTCAACCAATCATTGTCCATGAATGAAACACGCTGTAAAAAAATAAGACTTGAATCTACCATATATGGTTATATCTATGGAATGTACAGCCAAAAAACAATACATTAGTGTTTTTTACAATATAGCCTTTTCATAGCATGAAATAAATATTTGTACATTATATTTAGTCTATTTGTTTTAATAATCAAAACAAAAAAGTTTCTGGGTTGTGTTACGTCTTTTACATTGATTTAGTCTATTTAAATAAATACTTAAATAAATACAATTTTAATGCGTATAGTAATGTGTAGAATATATCAAAAGTGTTGTCATTCAGTAGCTAAAGAAAGTTAAGCAGTTCTATTTCAGTCGCTCATCATTACGATTTTTAGCTGAATAAAACTCGAAAATTAACACGTTAAAATGTAGAGATGCTGGACAATCTATTCTATTCCACGATTAAACCGCGGGAGAGCTATCTTACTGGATTAAGGCTCATGTCTTAATTGCAAAACTTCAAAAATGTATTCAGATTATTAGTATTATTTTAATGAAGATTATTAGCCTATATTTCTATCGTCAACGCATGTCTTGTTTTTCCGATTAGGAGACCACAGCTGTCAGACTGGAACCCGTTAGCCTAGCTACATGCTTTTCAGCAACATTTATGCAATAAAACAATTCTTCAAAAAACGTTATGAAAATGCAATAAATGTAACAAATGTTATTATTTTCAAAATATCACAATTTCCCCTGATTTCTAAAAATCCTTATGAGAACACCTCAGTATAAATCTGTGCTGTCTCTTATGTTAGGATACCAGAATTCTTTCAAATTTATCCATAATAGCTTTTTAAAACTAAAATACAACATCATAGAGAGAATTTGTGCAATTGGACCAACAACAGATTTACAACAAATCCATGATTAAATAGCCTAATTTACATTGATTCTATAATTTCTGGGGGGAAAATTAGCTGCGTTTATGTCAATTTTATACCTCAACCTTCGCATTAACATTAGGTGTTAAACTGTAATTTAAATCTATTATGGACAAAACTGACTCTACAGTCTATTCAGCTGTATAACCTACTTAATATCAAACAATATGTTTGTAAAATATGACAGACAAAGCTAGATGTGCCCAAGTGAACACAAACACAGTCCAGACACAAGAGGACACCAGTTTACTCATCTTTTATTGTCACATTCATATCTATGCTCTGTATTCTTTACAAGGAGTTCAAACAATAGTGGATGAGAATCAAAGAACATCAGGCAGGCAGAGGCTGAAAGTCCCGATAATGTCTGTGGCACCTGCTGTGAGAAGGGTGAAGGGATAGTCTGATAAAGGTAGTCTCCTTCCTCTCTTATCCCCCTAAAATGTGCCCTATTTATTTCAACCAACCTTCACTCTCCTGTTGCATTATTACAGGTGAAATGAAACAATAAAAATGAAAACAATTTCAACATCATGCTGCTCTGTGTGGCCTGAAAAGATACTATGTTGCGGTTCACAGAGAAAAAGAGAGGAAATTCTATTGCAAACATAAGAGATACAATCCTATGTCATTTCTTAAAAAGCCATCAGAAACATAAATCAAATAGAAAGATGAATTTGTAAGTTAAAAAAAAGTCAGTTTAATAATAATGGGGGGGAAAGAGACTGGATAGTGAAATTGACATTTTTATGTTATTTCCCCTCCCACATATCTATTCCATTTCCAAATTCATCCAGAACAATTTCAAAAACAACTGAAGAAAAACCATCTTTGGAAGTAAAAGACTCCTATCAGTATATGATGATGTTGCTACCCATTTGTTTAAGTCATTTATTATTGATTCATTAAGCCTAACATTTTCTAAATTTACTTTTTGTGTCTTTTTTTTTACTTTTATGTCATGTCCTATGTGTTTGTCTTTATTCTAAGAGGTAGATCAACCAAAAAAAAAAGAAAAGAATTTAAAAACACGTGGTTACAGACATTTTGATTCAGGCTGTGAAATCATAAAACGATTAGGACAGAAAGTTAGTAGAAGCTCCGGGCAGAATTGCCATTTTATTGCTGATTTAAATCTAGTTTCAGCAACAACAAAACAAGAAAAGAAACTGAAGCTGCTTTAAAGATCAGCGAGAAAAGGGCTTTTAAACAGTAAGGATCGTTCTTGGGGTCAAGGCTGCATGGCGTGGAGGTAGTGGTGGTGCCGTCGAGGTGGGAAAGGACACAGAGAAGATAGCGCAACAGGCACAAGTGTGGGTTTCGTCTACACCGAAATCCTCAGTCACTCTACGAATGCTGGTCGAGTTACATCTGTGCCATGATGTGGGGAGAATTCTAATTGAGCTTAATTGTGCACTAACCGAATTTCACAGGTTCCTCCTCCTCCCGAGCAAACCATCACACCACACATCCGTTTCCCGTCCTGCCACCCCGCCCAACTCGAAGCTCTAGTCTAGGCTATGACTAGCAGGCTATTCTAGCCAAACGTCTACAGAAATGAAAAGCTCGAAATAAATTAAAACTCAAAAGTAAAATGTAACATGCACTTTCGCTCTCGTCTGCTTGATAAAAACAATCTTATGGCTAAGTCTTGAGGTAGCGTTCCTAGTTATGTGAGGTTTGAGTCGTCATCTGTAGCACCCAAATGTTTTCCATAAGGAGAGGCCAGAAACTAACACGGTGAGATACAACAGTGGCATGCAACGTCGATATGATAATCACACCCAACTATAAGCTGCGCTTCAACCTGTGGTCTACATGTAAATCTATGCACTGCAATGCAACTTTTCCCAGTGGACACTTAACAGTCCGTGTGACAAATTCCTTTGACTCGTCACAGAATTGCATAAGTTAACAACATACTATCTTTTTTCCCCAAGCTCAAGTATGCTAGCGAAACTGTTCTACTGCTTGTTCAAGCCCTCCCCACCACCAAAACAACAACAACAACAACAACAACGTGTGGAGGACCTGGAAATAAAAAGGATAGGAGAAAACGTTTCCAAGTGCCAAACAGGAAGTCGTCTCGCGGTCCTCAGGGAACCGTGTATCTCATATATAGCACTGCATCCATTCCTGACTGCTTACAGACTTAATTAGTTCTGGAGTAGTACAACAACAAAACACAAAGAGAACCCCAGTTTGGCACAGGTATAACATGAAGAATGAATCATTTGTTAGTATTTCAAATGAACTAGTAGCAATGTAAGAGCTGCATAAAGAACTCTGGATTATAGCTAGGTTTCTCCCCGATCAAACTACATGAATGGAGACAATTTGAGAGAAGAAAAATGAACGAGTAAAAATAATATCGCAAAGAAATTCAACATCAAACGACTGAACTGAATCGAGAAAACAGTCACAAACGAGGCCAGCGTGAGAGAGGGCGTTCTATTCCAGAACTAATGTCTCTTTTGAATCGGATACAACTAACGCAAAAAAAACGAGCGGATGAAGGTAGCGAGTGGTGAGTGGGGGTTGAAAAAGAAGGGGACATCTAAATCAAAATGTCCACTGAATCTGTCCAGGGCATCTCCATATCATCGCTTATACCTTTCACCCAAAAAGTAATAATAATTAAAAAAAAAAAAGACAAATGCAATTACAATAACATATCAACTATTTCGTTGTTGTTGTTTTTTTAAACTATGTTAGTTCTTGGAGATCTGCGGTTATGTTAATAATCCTCGCTCACATATATATGTATATTTATTTATTTTATTTTTTTTGTCTTTTATTGATGAAACAGTTCACAACCAGATGTCATGTCCAAATAAAGCTTGCTGTCTAAAAGAAAAACAAAAAGGTCAAAACAAAAAGGCTGCTGCAGTCTGAACAGAGCAGAAGTGTGTGAGTGTGTCTTGGTGTCTGACAGAAATCTATGGGCTGGAACAGGACAGACGCTTCTTTCCTGCCTGAAGAGCAGTATGTATTGACAAGTCATTGACAAGTTCAATCCTCAAGCAGAAATCAGAAGACTAGTGTGAAAAAGGGAAGCTTTTGTAAAACAAAAAACTAAATTAAAAGACCTTGATCTGTTAAAGCACGTGAACATGCTGGCAAACCCTTCGCAGATGTCTGAATGGAACCTGAAAGAACGCGGTCTGGCAGTGCCCATCCATCTTTAACGGCTAAAAGTCTTTCCTTCCTTTATCCAATTAGTATTTTATTCTAAAAAAATACAAACAATTATCCCGCCCCCACCGATTGTTCCGTCGAACAAATTATTTACAGGTTTAAATTTGAGAGATGTGAATGCTTTCATTTTGTTGATTTGTTTCTTTCAATATTTTTTGCCTCCCGTTTTTCAAAAGGTACCTTTTGTTCTCAGTCAGTTTTTAAAAAATGAGTACGACCGAGGCCATAGAGTTTTTCTATGTGTCTGCCTTTTTAAAACACCCAAACCACTTCCCCAACAAAAAAAAAAAGATTTAACACTCAAACTCAATTAGTAAACGCACTCACGCACACTTGCACAGGGACAATGGCGAAGGACGAGACTCCATCCAAAAGAAAAAAAGAAAAGATGTTAAATCGTTCACATTCAGTGTCTTCGGGCAGATGATGGTCGACATGCTTTCGTTTTTTTAGCATGGCGAGTAAGTCAAGCCCTTTCAAGTAAGCCAACCAATGATGTCAAAAGTCCTTTAGTGCAGAATGAACAAGATCACACCACAGGTGCAAAAATAAAATGGCACAAGTTAGAAAAAAGGCCATTTTGTTTTCTACAGTCAGCTTGTACAACAAACATACACATTAGCGTCAATTTAATTCCTGTGGTTTGGCAACGTTCATTATGCACCAGTAAGAGATGGTAAGATCCGTCCTACGTCCCATTGGCCAGTGATTTCAAGTGTGACTCTTCAAGGACCCCCAGGCTGGCCTTGCGAGACTCACAAAACAATTCATCATTTTTCCTAGGAGTCCTTCTGAGCTCAGGTGAGGGAAAAAAAACCTCAATTACACTCTCCCAAACACGCATACCAAAAAAGAAAAATAATGGGAAAAAATTCAAAATATTTCTTCCTTAAAAAAATAAAATATTCAAGACTATCAGCTTTTATATAAAACACCAGCAAGCAAAAAAAGGGGGGAAATAAAAAAGAAAAAGAAAATAACAACAAAATTAGGAATACTGAGGTAACAATACCCTGAGGTAGTTTTTTTCTTAATTCATTTTGTCTAATCTGTTCTAGGTTCAGTGAGAAAAGCCAGGACCCTGGCAACCTCATCGGCAAATGTCGAACAAAGTGGGCGAGAGAGAGAGAGAGCACAGAAACTTTGCTGTCCCCTGCTCTTGACCTTTGACCTAAAGGCAGGTTTGTGGAGGCTGTACCTTGTCAATCAAACCTGGCATTCAGGACGACTGTCCTCAGTTGATTCGGCATATTTTTACAGCACATTTATTCTCAGGAAAAACAGAACACCACGTCTGAAGGCCAGGTTTACAGATGACAAATGCTTTTTTTATTAAAAAGCGGATACGTAATCACACATTCCTAAAAGCGAAACGCGCTTTTAAAAAATATGCTCAAAGTCTCGTTTTCTGAAATTACGGTACTCTCCATTTCTCCGTCTGCCTGCTCCAATGCAATGAGGGGCCAGGTTAACTCACATATCATATATATATAATATATATAAAATATGCCGTTTGGGTGTGGGCGGCGCTGCAGCGATCATCGCTGGCGTGGTTTAGGGCGGGATTGTTGGGCATCCGCACATCAAAGCTGAGCCACTGCAATACAACTGCAGAGGTCACCTTTAGCCCACACGCTTACTGAACTCTCGCCGCACGTCCCGCCGGTCAAACGGCACGCGGCCTGAAAGGGAAGCCTCCGAAAAATGCCGCAACCCTCTCAAACCAGGTGCGCGATTGCAGACGGTTAAACGTGCAGCATCTCAACTCAAAGTCATGAAGATTATATTTACAACCTCTCTTTTTTTTTCATCTCGTCACCCCCACAGTTTAGCGTGGGGGACTTCAAGAGCAGTGTTAACAACTTTGGCCCCTCCCCTCATCTCTGATAGGTAGGGAGAAGTCACCTGATTGGTGACCACACCCACTAATAAATTGGACTGATTCTCTGCTCTCTTTCTCTCTCCCATCTCTACCTCACTGCATTTCATTAATAATACCTCTGAATAAACATTTCTATACATATATCTCTATCTTTAAAAAAAACAGTTAAAATTTTGAAGTGACTGCTGATGGCTGAGGGTCCTAAGTAGCTGAACTTTTGCGGGACCTTCATTATGCCTTATTCCTAATAAGCGGCTATGTATAAAAGCTCTCACTAGAGGGCGCTCCGCTCTGACGGACCTCCTCGCCATCCTCAGTCACTCCACCTGGCCTGGCATCTGGTCTCTGTTTTCTAGTTATCTCTCTTCTTTAGAAAAATCACTCTTTTTTTCTAGTTCATTTTCACTAAACTTGTGTCCTCTTTCTCTCTCAGGCATGTGTTTTTTTTTTTTTTTGTCTTTTGTCCTCTTTTTAATTTCCTCTCAGTTTGCTGCTCATTTCTCCCTGTCTACCGCTGGGTCTGTGTCACTCTCTCTCTCTCTCAGTCAGTCCGCTCGTTTGTCTGTCCGTCTGACTGGGTAGTGGCCCCGGCCTCTCACTTCCTCCTGGGTTCTTGTGCCAGTCCCTGCGGGGACCCCGGCTCAGTCATGACCTGCGGATGGGGCCCCTGCTGGCCTCCCATACCTCCTTTTTGCTGCTGCTTGACTTGTGTCAAAATGTCCCTGATCTTCCTCTGTGCCAACTAGAGGGGAAACAATAACAACAACAACAACAAAAAACAGCATTTTAGCACTGTCTGCCAAGTTTCTGTAACATTCTAGCCAAATGAAATGTCAAAAGTACATTTGTTCAGAGAATATAGAAAGATAAGCAGTGGTGGAGGAAGTACTGAATCTCAGTACTTAAGTAAAAGTACAAATACCCAGATAAATATTTACTTTAGTAAAAGTAGAAGTAACACAATGACAACCATACTTAAGTAAAAAGTAAAAAGTACTTTATTTTAAATGTACTTTAAGTATTAAAAGTAAAAGTACTTGCATAACAATTTATTATCTTAATGTCTATTTTCTAATGATTAATAAAACATTTAATTCTAACTCATTCAACCTAATAGCCTACTCCTATAATAATGTTCAATAATGATGGAAAAAAATGTCACCATTTCTGAAACAAGCTTGCAATTAGGCAATATCATGCTTATCCTTACTATATGTTAATATGTTTGGCAGTAAACGCGATTCATTTATGGTGTAATTCTGAACCTCTTGGCTTGCCATAATCCTAACCAAACCAAACATATATTACACACGGTGTGTTTCTTATGCACGTAAAAACAAATTTTCGCGTATGAGTTGCACAATAAAAAAACACTGCGTGTGAGACGCATTTAGTGTGACCGGGTTGATATACTGTATCTATGGCAACCAAACGTCACTGGTGAGACAAACGTGCAACGAACAGACGGTCAGATTACGTTTTGGCAGAGGAAAAACTGATCAGAAAATGTAACGAAAATGTAACAGAAGTTGTAGAAATGTAGTGGAGTAGAAAGTATAATAATTGCTGCAAAATGTAACGAAGTA